AAGAACAGAATAGCTTTATTCTGGCTTAGCATGGCAAAACAGCTCAGTAACAGTGAAGAGAAGAGATGGTGCGGGGGGCAGGACCACAGTTACCAGCTCTGCTCACTATTTCTAAGGGACATTGTGGCAAAAGCTTTCCACCAGAAAGCTCTGAGAGTGCCGGCTGCTGTCTCAGGCCTGTACCACAGTCCTTTTCCAATCGTTCCTAGGCCTAGAAGTATCACTTCACTATTTGTAATTGGTCAGCAAGAACCCTAATCCCTTAGAGATTTTCATTTGCTGTCTGTCTCTTCTGTCCTTCTCCTCCCTTCCCCTCCCTCCCATCATGTTTTATTATTTTCACTGCCTTGATTTTGAATGTCAATGATCACAATGTGCAGAGGAGAACCAACCTCCAAAACTGCACTTAATCCTCAAAGGGAGTGGAAGAGACCTCTGGAGGTCATCTTACCTAACCTTCCACTTCAAACTGGACCGTTGCTAACTTTAGATCATTTCATTAAACTGTACAAGTGTCTGTCACCAAGATAACAGGAACTGACAAAACAGACGAGCACGAGCTAAGAGCAAGTCTGAGATCAGATCAAAGTGAATTTTAAAATGCAGCACAAGAGAGAAGACTGTGGGATGGAACAGACACAGCTGCCAAGAGCTAGACCTTGAAACTCCCAAAGAACAGCGCAGGACAACAGCACATGTTTCTACCGATATCATCATACATTAAAATACTGCAGCAGGAAACACAACCCAGCTACTGATTCTTACTGAAACCACTACCAGGGGCTTAACGTCAAAATTTCCTAGTGCATGGCATGTACTAGAAATATGTAGAAAACTGTTGTTCCTGGAAAGTAGAATAAAATCAATGTTCAGGGAAAACAGATTGAACGTAGAGAAGCAACGTCAGGGTCAAAATAAAGAATCCTATCTACACAACAATTTAAAGAAGCTAGAAGTGTAATCCAGGAATTTATATAATCATTTTAATCGACTTTTCATGTATTTCCCCCAGAAGATAGCTACAACCCATCCCAACAGATTTACTTTCACAAAGATGATGTTCTACTGCAATACACTGTTGAATCTGCTCACATAAAGAAATGCTTAAGATAATTTCCTATTCAATCATAAAATCTGCAGTGACTGCTTTATACTATTTTATATTATTTGGTAACACAGTGATAACTGGCCTTCAGAACTCACTCTCTCTCTCAAAAAAAAAAAAAAAAAACACGAAACAAACCCACAAAGAGACACACACACACACTGCCATGCTTTTTTACCAAAAGGGACTTGCAGGAGAAAGTCTACATTGCCAGACACAGGGTGGAAGACAGAAACTGAGCTCTGCATTACATATTCTGTAATTGTAAATACTGCAACCTTTCCTTAAAGGATTTAAAAAAAAAAAAAAAAAAAAGTCAAGTGCTTCATAAAAGTCAGCAATAAATTAAATAACACAAAAAGCAACTAGAGCCAAAAGACACCAAAGAATTCTGCATGGGCAGAGTGCAGGAAAAGATAACAGACTGACCTCAAAATAAAATGAGCTTTGAGCTCTAACATCAACGCGTATGGTGAATTTTGGACTATCATCTTGTTTTGAAGGGTAGCATATTCCTTGACAACCCCACACCTCTTTCACGGTATTACATACTTTTCAAAAGTGAACATACACTTTGTGGTCCAGAAGGTCACATGCTATCAGACCATACTTGTTTTCATTGACAGGAACATGAAGCTTTGCCCATTTTGAACAGGGGAACCTTCTGAGCACAAAGCACTTTCCTTTGTTTCAGTTCTTCTAAAGCAAGTTGTCTTCTAATCTTTTTGGAACAGCCTCCCACCTACCAGATCTTGAAGGGAAATCATAACCGTTGTGCTTCTGTCAAATCACTGCCTACTGTCATTAAAACTCACTATTACAACCTCATTCTAGGATCAAGTAGACAGAGAAAGACAGTGTGCTGTGCATCTCATTCAAACATATATCTTCACTAGCACCAAAAGTAACAGACCAAATTCAATTTGAACAAAATTGAGTACAGCGCTTAAAAGCTTCCCATCCCATTTTAATAATCCCTCTTTCAGAGCTATGCATGAGCAAAAATCTTAGGCACTTATTACTTAATATATTTGAAACTTCACTGGCCATGAAAACATTCAAAATTATCTGGAACCTATATGCACATATGCAAAACATTTAGTACTTTCTCCAAGAAAGGAAACTGTTTCCTAAGTGAGGCTGTTAAAAGTAGTAAACATTAAAAGCAGATGGTTACAATATAACATATTTCTGGAAAGAATCACAGATTCAAGTTAGTGACTTCTTCATGGGATTAAAGAAAATCTCCACATTAAAGCTGAATATTGAGTATTTGAACTAACTTCCCACACTTCTATCACAACCCTACCTCTGTCAAAGGCTGTCAAAAACATAAATGCTGTTTTTTAAAATCTGTATGAGAACTGCTGTGGAAGTGTACTGGGAGCACTGAACATCCAAAATTGACCACATGGAGAAAATATGTCATTTCTGCAAGCAGCAAGGCCGTATATGGATATTCCTCCATGTGTAAACAACTCATTTAGGCTAATGGCTTCCAAGAAGGGATCTAGCTCTGTTCAGGCTCTCTTACACATCTTCCTGTTGTCTGTAAAGACATGGCATGCTTGGTTTTCAGCTTTGTTTAAGCTCAAAACCCTTTACAATGAATACTTACATACGCACTAACAATACAGCAGAAGAGAAATCATGAGAAGACAGTCTAGGTGTTTTGTTGGGAAAAACAAAGAGAGAAAACGTGGAGCTCGCCCAGGGACAGCCCAACGCAGGGAGAAGGCCAGGGAGCAGATGGTTGTACTTTCCACAAAGATGACATGTGGGAATGGAAGAGCTGAAAGGCCTCCTGGAAGAACCTATCTTTGCCCTGTCTACGTTACAGAAACTAATATTTTGACCACTACCTGGAAACTGAGCAGCAGTCAAGATTAGCTGCATTGTAACAAATTCTGCACTCTAAGCCATTAGTTTGTGTTCAAAGCTGGAGAACCCCTGATACTCTAGAGAAACTAGTGGAAACTGGAAATTTTACTCTTCCAGTTTACTACAAGTGCATATCACAGTTCAGAGCAAACTACTTCCTAAAACTTCTCCTGTGCACGCCTCTGCCAAGTTCTGTCAGAAGAAATTCAACTGGTTCTCAAACTGGCAGATGTCACCTAGCAAACATGCATCCAAAGAAAATCTTGCACTTAATGAAGGTTAATTCCTCTTGAAAGTTCTGCAGGGTTGTACCTAGTATTACAGACAAACTTAAAAAAAATTAAACAGAAAAAAATGAAAGTCAAAAGAAAGCCCAAAACATCTCACTTTAATTTAAGTTTGAAAGGAAAGGTATATGCATTACTGTTTTCAAATTACGCTGACAGGTCATTATACCTGGCACTCAGGCAGAAAATCTGCAATCATTCCCAAATTCCTTGTCTAAGGCACCACATTATTCTAATAGCGTTAACAAAATGAAGGGAGAAAACAAAAAGGAGCAAAATACTCATCCAGATGAAGTTATTCTTAATTAATATTAATATTATTTATTATTAACTAAATGAAAAATGTAAAACAGTGTTTGGTTTATATCCTAACCTGAAACCTCTGGGTAGTGATTCCTCCAGGTACTACCCATCACTAAAAAAAGGCAGGAAATCTATTCAAGTCAAGCTGCAGAGAAAAAGAAAACCAACAGCACATCATTCACATACAGCATAACACTCCATACTCAGAGTCGCATTAAACAGGTCTACACGATCCAGCTGGAAGAGCAGTATGGCTAGACTACACTGCGCTAACTGTAATTCAGTTAGCAGAGGTAAACTAATAATACGAAGCACAAAGCTTCATAGCTACTGGTATTTGTGCTAGCTAACAGAGCTGGTGCTCTTGTGCCTATTTACATTACAATCACTCCTCAGTTGTTTTTGTCACTTAGACCTGCTTTCTCCATACAAGTAGGACACTAAGTGACAGTGGTATGAATTTTGTGCAAAAAGAAACCAGGCATACATACCAGGATACTGTAATTTTAGTATAATGGAGGCAAATCACTCTTGTGGCAGTGAGGGCATTAGCACAAGGATGGTGAAAAGGTGCTGTAGAAGAGAGAAGAGTATATAGCATTCAATTTACTGTTTACAAGGATTTATTAATGAGATCAGAAATGGCCCTGAAGCTGCAGCGATTAACGTCCTAGAGTTGCTTTGTGAACACATCATGGTCTTACACAACTGACTTTTTTCCCCCCCCTCCTCCAAATAAAGCCCCTCTCACTTGTCTCTGAAACTCAGGATCTGTGCTCTGAGCAATGGATGCCCTTTGGAAAACAGAGAGGAATTTTCTTAATAATTAGAGAACTTCAGTTATCTAGTAACTAGGAGAGGAGGAAAATATGCTTTTTCCTTTTCTGTGGGGAAACTTCATTGACACAGGAAAGACAGGACTCATTACTTAAGCTGACTATCTAACCATATTTTCCTGCTGAGACTGTGGCACAAAATCTCTTATCTTATACTTTGACTTCTAGGGTGCCTTACTTGCTGCTGATGTTTCATTTTCCTCTCTGTTTAAAGTATCACGCCACTGACAGCATCACTTGAACTGACTCCAGGTGAAAGGATATGATAGATTATGTAAAAATTCAATCCATTAGGTTTTTCCTTTTCTTTCCTCCACTTGGAGGATCAATGTCTGGGACACTTGACATGTTTGAGTCCTCCCTATACTAAAGGAATAAAAATATTAACCTGGAACAACTTGATGCGGCTGGCAACAATTGTAGCTGCATAATTAATTAGAGACCATAAGCAAAATATTAAGCATTTTCATCCCCAAAAATCAAACCCACTCTATTTTGAAGAAGTATCAATAATCAAACTGTATTATATTCTGTTACAAAGTTTGCCTTTCTAGATTGCCTAGAACTTGCAAGCCTTATTCTCCTTTTGAAAGGAAGATCCAGCCTCATGCTTCTACAGCACTTTTTCATGATGATCATAGTCTAGCGTTGCTGGAAAACCTAACTTTCTTCCGAAAATGACTCCACCTCGGCTCTCCAGCTATGACTAAAATGAAGACACCTCAGTTCCAAAGTCAGAGAGGTACACAGCAAGACTGCAATCATTCCCTTCAAATGTAAACACGTCGTAAGCAGTTCTGCTCTATCCCCACTCCTTTTTCCTTGCTGTGACTGGAGTTATTCTCCTTCATTGCTGCCAACCCATGACAGCAGGGAAGGCTCTTCCTTCCCCTGGTTTCTGCTCTGTTCTACCTCTCCCCAGTGTAACCCACACTTGTCTTGCAGTCTTGTACAAGACTTTTTTGGCTCTATCTGCCACAGCCACGCAGTGAAAACAGGATGATATTCAAGAAAGGGGCAGGAGGGGGAAGAGACGGATATAGCAATGAACACAAGCGAGGATCGACCAAGAAGCAACTCCCTGATGAAGTCATTTGAAAGCAAAAACAGGAGAAGGAAACCTTACTGTTATAGGCCTTAACTTGAGAATGAATGCCACATTCATTCTCCACATCAAAAACTAAAGTGGCTTTGAGGTTTAGATCATTTGCTCTATAGGCAATTGGGATTTTGCAACAATTCTACCACAAACAAAAACCTGGTCCTCACATATGAACAGAATTGCAAGGCAGGCAAGAACCCTCAAAGAGGTCTTCAGACCTTAAGATTCTGTGTTAATCCACAAGATTAAACGTAACTGTCTGCTTTCGGCAGAAAGACTGCTGCTGAGCTTGGTCACGTTTTGCCTAGCAACGGCCCAATGGGAAGCGTAGTACCAAAGCAAAAGAGGCTACCTACATCGCCACCATTGACAAGGCAGGTCCAAAAGCGCAAAAGAGCTTCTCTAAGATCCTCAAGGGGACCTTTGCAGTTTCCAGTCACTTCACAAATCCCTTCTTGTATTCGGGGAAAATAATTTCCAAGTTTTTGAATGAACATTAAGCCTAAAGGACAAAACATATTCTACACATGCAGAAAACAGTTAGGCTATTTCAGGTGTTTCAGTATACCAATTTGATAAAGTACGTGTCATCGTTAGTACACGTCTATGTTCTCAATTCAGAATCTGCCTCAGAACAAGGCACTGCTATGATAGCATCCCTCACAACCGCTTTTAAGATTAATATACTAACTTTTAAGCAAAGAAATCATATATTTCTGAAAGGACACATTCAGCTTTAGTCATGGAACGCTCACCTCCGAGAACAAAGCGTTGAGCCTGCTAACTGCGTATGGCATGTTTTTAAAATGGGTTTCAGTGCCAGTTGATAACTTAGCCATTTAGATAACTTAGATAACATGTGCTGGTCACCCAACATGCCTTGAACTAAGAAACTACCATTTAAATCTCACTGCTTGAGAAGAATTTGGCACAGCCCACTTCTCATCTGTCTTAGAAAAACAGCTTTACATGTTCTATAATGTTTTCAAAAGAGGCTGCTGGACAGAAAATAGGAAACAGCTGGCTAGTCAGTTACTTTTTTAATTAATGTTTCCTCTGATAAGCTGATACAGATTTAAAAATCCATTAAGTGTACTGAAATGGACTTGTTAGTTTTTCAATAAATTACGTCTTACAGGAAAGCCAGAATTATAAAGATGCTTATGTGCAATGACATTTCTAATATAGTAAATACGAAGGGCTTTAATAGTTATACCCTCTATACACACACTTTTTTCACTGCCATATTTCCTGTAAAAGTGACATATTTTAGCCATAATTGGCTATTTATCTTGACTTCACATTCTATGAAAAGTTAGTACAAGTGAAAAAAGGGAAGCCGTTATCTTTCCCCAAGGTTTAATTTAGCGTGTGACATACAGTTGCTATACACCGTGCATCTTTCACACTACTGCTCTGCTAGGATATATGATCAATGAGCCAAGAGCAAAAAGCTACTTTAAAAAAAAAAAATTATTGTACAAATGGAAAATACCTTTGAAGGAAAGATGAAGGTAGAATAGGTGTCATAGTTTGCTTTAAAAAGAAAAAAAGCACATCAGGATTCAAAACGGAAACCAAATTTCTTGTGTTTATACTTTGGAGGCCTGGATTTAAGCAGATACTCACTCTGGCCAGGGTTCAACTTAAAATATAGTTTTCAATGCTATATGACTGCATACCGTTGCTGTAGGATTGAACTGAAAACAGAAGAGGCAAAGTTTTGAAAAGATTTAAAAAGAATTGAAGAAAAAATTAGTATCTGCCCTTAGTATTAACTGAGATTTACTTTAACTAATATGAATTCCAAGAAATAATTTAATGCAAGCTAAGCATAATTGCATTTGATTAGGACAGTTACAAAGCATTTCTTTACTTAGACAACTCGGAGGCATTTGCATTTAAATTCTTATGCCAGATGGGAGTCTGATCTGATTCAGGCCGTGTCCGAAACCTGGGCCATATTTAATTCCAGAACTAGATTAGATAACTAAACACTTATTATTATGTACTCTCTTTTCAGTCCTTTTAGCTGAGCTTTCACAATGTCTTCTATGGCTTCATGCCTCTATACACTTTTTTAAACCAGTAAGCAATATACAGTCCCCTAGCAAGTGAGGAACTCCCCTTCTCAGAGCCTTCCTTCTCCAGACCACTGTGAGAAATCTAACAGAAAGCAGCAGCATCCTTGGCTTGTGCCGGGTACAGAAAGGACAACTCAATTCCATATTCTCCATTCGGTTCCTGCTCTTCAAACTCCAAATTTGCCCTGAACAGGCAACCACTAGGTGAATTTAGTCACAGGCTACCTATTTAAAACAAGTGCTCTATAGCATTTTCTGTATCACCTCACAACTTTTGTCTGCCCAGTCTAAATGCAAGTTTTTTTCTCTGCCCTGTGTAAGCTTTGATAGAGACACTAAACTTAACCAATTGACTGTGCGTTGTCTGTGCATTTGTCTAGGAAAATGGAGGTTCCTTCAGCTTCACTCATTTTCTAATTAAAAAAAAAAGTGAAGTCCATTCATCAGTTAACAGATTTTCTTTGTTTTAGATTTTTCAAGCTCTCTGTAAGCCAAAGAATATTGGCTAGGGTTTCTATTTTTCTTTTTAGAGCTAAGACTTTCCTTCATGAAACAAAGACTTCCTTTTTCATGAGCAAGGAATTTACTAAACCCTCTACAGTTCATCCATATAACGCTAGCAAAACTGGTATATTGCTCACATGTATCCTTTTGCTTAGATTACATACAATCACAAATCCTTTAATTAAATTTCTGAGACAAAGTATTCTGTTGTCAAAGCCCTGAGGAATAACAAGTACACTGTACTTGCAGCATATACAGAATGCTTTGCAGGAAGTCTTAGCTTCTGCACTTTGAGAAGCAAATCCATATGCTATCTATCTTTTCACCAAAGTAAAACAATTTAAAACATCAATTAATACTTTAAGTCTGGGTTTTAGACAGCTGTATGAATGATTACACGTTCCCCAGAGATGAAAGTCATCATTTCTTTCAGTCTTTACCTCTACCCACTTCTCCTCTTCTCAGATACAACAGGCAATTATTTCAAATAGCAAATGCAGCAGTGCGCCGTGACCACCACCTTGCTCCTCACAACGTTCTCCTGCAAGCCCTGCCAAGAGGTGTTTAGTGAAAAGGAAAATGTGTGGCCCAAAGCAGTAAGACATGAAGTGAGCTGGTCTGAGGTACGGAAAACCCAGTAAGAGTATGGAGGAAAGTCATCCTTCCTTCTCAGAACCCTGCACTTCACCAACGTACAGGAAGGACAAGGAAAGGGGAAGGATCTGACTTATGTTCTCTGCAGGATGCTATCTGGAGAGCTGCTGCTTCTCTCTCCATCTTAACACCTCTGTAGGCCACAACCTTGTAAAGGGGTATGTAGAAGACAATGACTGTGCCAGGCACTCCATTGCAAGGAGTACCTGAACTCTTGCTGCAGATGGGAACAGCAGCAGCCTAGAGACAGCAAACGAAGAGCAGACCCAAGGAAGGAGGCAGCATGGGCACAAAGGAATGGGAGGGAAGGCAAGAGGGACAAACAGTTGCATCTTGCTAACAAAGAAGCAAGACAGACAGGCACAACATAAAAAAAGGAAGAGGAATGGATTCAAGTATTATATAAGGTGTTTTTAAATGCCTCCACCCACCTCTGCAGAAAGATCCTCTCATGTACTAGGAAAGTAAAAAATATATATACACACAAAACCTTTTTAAATTAAAACAATACCATATTACCAAGCATCGTACTGGAAGAGTGAAATATTGTAACAATGATTTCAAATTATTGTACTAAGAACTAATTAATTATTACAGAGACTATCCACGTAAACTTAAAAGCAAACTTCAGTATGAATTTCTTACCATCATTTTTATTATTCTAAATTCCCAGAGGGAAAGTCCATGCTTGAGGTGCACTCTTCACAGCTAGAAATTTACTGAAAGCATCTTACCAATACCACACATCAAGCAGAACATCTGGTAAAATAGAGACAAATGGTATAAACCAGTCAAGCACAAAATTAAACTACTAAAGATAAACTGAAAGATAAAATTTGCTCCCTTTTTCAGTTCAGGAGATTGATGATACATAAAAACCCATTTCAGCTTCACTTTTTTCAAAATACATATTCTACTTTTTATGAAAGAGAAATACATTTCATGGCTTCTCTCTTAACTCACAGAAAAAAAAAAAATAGAAGGAAATCAATCTTCTCACTCTAATATCACTGCTATCTGCATGCCAAACAGATGCAAAGAAGTTTCATTCTTTCTCCTTCCCACACTCTTACATCACCACATTGTTTTGATTAAAATTGCTGAATTTCTAACTCCTAGCACTAACAGTGAGGGCGGGAGGGGGGAGGCAGGAGGAGAAATAAAAGCCAAGAATGAACACATCTAAGTTGCTCGTGATGCCACTGTTTCCCAGAAAAAAAAATGCCCCAAGTGATCTTCAAAGAAGAATAAATTACAGATGAGAAGATGGTATTAAAAAATGCTAGGACTTTAACAAACATACCAACATACACAGGCTATTAAAAAACTTTCAAAATTTGCAGGCCAGCTTTAAGAGCTTGAGAACACCCCCCCCATTTGAATGTGTGCACGACAGCTGCAGATTCCTGCGACATTTTCATTGGTATCTGGAACAACAGATAACACACAACTGATGCCCAGGCCAAAGGAACAAGTTGGGGCAGACAATATGTAGCTTCACAGCATGTCTGCTCCTGCCCAGTACAACTGCAGATGTGCACTTACTTTTACCAAAGTCCATTGAGATTACCTCTCAGTGATGATGGGCAAGCTACCTGCATATTTACAATGAAAAATGCGCCCACTGTAAGTTACCATGGAACAGCCAACATGCACAGCAGGGTTGGAGTTTGGGGGCTTTTAAGAAGAGCCCCGTACCTTTTACTCTAGTTACCTTAAACAAGTGGCTGGTTTACAATAAAGACCTGAGCACTCCCCAGTACCAGGCAGTGGAGTTGTTGGGACACTCGATAATTTCTGCAGCACAAGTGATTTCTATTTAGGCTTTAACACAGGTGAGAGGACTTCTAGTTTTAAGTGCGTGCCTGTGTGCGCAGGGCCTCTACCATCAGCTTGCCTTCCTGTCCCTCATCTCAGCAGTGTCCAGTCTCTATACTGAGAACAATTGTATAAATCTCTAATTTACACAAGCACGTCAGATATAACCACCTGTTCTATCACAAAAACCAGCTGATGGATTTGTCACAGTTTCAACCTTGTATCTCATATACCATACTGCTGGAGGGCAGCAGGACAAACAAATGCATCATATAATCTCGAGCCAACATCAGAGAAGTTCACAGCACATGTTAGCAGTACTCACAAGAAGCAAACAACCCTGAAATGTCATGGTGCTTGTTTAATGCCCAAGCTTAGGAGTCTTCTGATACACATAAGTTTTATACTAGCTTATCAGTAAAGCAAATTTCCATTAGTAAATATTCACTTCTCAGAATGGTACCTGCATTATCTGCAAACGGGAAATTAAATTATTAATGTAATTTATATCAGAACAACAGTGCCATTTTGGTTTGTCTAATCAGAGCAGTGACCTCCATCTCAAGTTCAAAAAATTTCAAACGTAAATGAAAATTGTACCTTCAAATTAGTAGCTATTAAAGTTAGAAATTTATTACTACCAAGTCACATAACTGTAAAGAAAATAACTGTAGTGCATTATCCGGGGAAAATTAATTATTAGCAATTCTGTTTGCTGTCATCTCTTTTCCTAATAGCCTGAAACAAACCAGCATGGTGATGCCACCTTCTGGAAAAAGGAGGTACAGAGCCCTTAGACTCCCGTCCAGCCCCATTTTCATAATTTTGAGCTTCAGCGTCCTTCTGTGGTTGAGAAGCTTCTACAGCTGCAGTGAGAACTCAGCAGTATATAAATATATATAGAGAGAAATAAGAAGGTCACAGTATACCAACCAGAAAAGAAGTAGCATTACTTACAGTCACCTTCTCTTGCTGCAGCTTCTGACCTATCCTATAATAATAAGTGAAGGGGCAGACACCAGAGTTGGCAGGCAGTAATATTAAGGGACACACACTTTTCTTCCTGCACAATGGATCCTACACAGAGGGAGGTAATATGAGAAGCAAAGACATCAGATAATGATGCAGAAGACAAGGAAAACAACCACACTGCAATTTTATGTATTTGCCAAGATATACTTTTGCAAATACACTTTACTTTGGCCCTCACTACCTGTAGGAAGCAAACAATTATTCACTCTCGACAAAAAGAATCTCTCTCTCGTTTCTCTGCCTTCTATCATGAAGGAGGCTGCAATTTTAGTAGGCAGATCAAAAGCTTTTGTAAGATGACAGGAGAGGAAACCAATATTGATGGAAAGGTTGTCAATTTATGTGGGTTTTTAGTAAATCGATATATAGAGAGCTTTTAAATAGTACAGCAATTATGAGTATTAGTGACATGCATATCTGCCAATTAAAATCATGTGGCTTCTGAAGAAATTTAACATCTAACAGTAAAGAAGGTAGGCTGAATTTGTAAATAGAGTCAAATAGTAGTATGAAACATATCACGCACATAAGTTTGTTAACCTTCATTTTAAGTTTTTCCTCTTTCAAAGAGATGATACAATCAGTTAGCCACAGCAAAATTCATAAACCCTTAAAAGAACATCTCATTGCAAAGAGCACTATTAAAAGCACCAAATCCAGTGTTTGCCAGCACACACTGTCTTCAAACATGCAAATACATTAAATACATATATATAAAATGGCAAAGACAAAGTGCTGGGTTTGACTGGGCTAAAAAAGGACATGAAAAAAATTTTAACGTTTTAATTTTCTTGCTTCTTTCAATAAAGTGCTTTAATTAAAAAGTTAAGTTTTTTCACTGTTAAAATTTGAAGTCATCAATATCAGTCTAATCATTGAATAATTTCTGGCTTAACTGCTGAAAAAAGAACATGAATATCGCTAATCAGTGCAAGACCACCACAAACATAGATGCTGCACATAATACGCTTTCCGTGCATCCTGCAATCATGTGGAAAATAATGCACCTTCAAACCAGGTGTGAATTACTAGGGAAGCTCATCATTAGGGGCATCTTCTCTTTTGCCAGGAGGAATTTATAAAACCACACCTGCTGGGCAGGGCCACCAAAGGCTAGCTGCTACTGCAACAGATAATGTTAACTTTTTTATCTAATATAACAGCTAGGTTGGGAAACGCGCTCTGAGAGCAAGTTCCACCGCAATCGGATACAGTGTTTTGTGACTTCCTCCCCATTTTTTACTAGTGACAGTTCTGCACATGTGACAACCAGTAATTTCATCCAAAGGATGCCATATGCCTGTCTTGTGTCCCAAACTGTCAAGACCAGTAAGGCAGGCAGTGGCGAAAGTAGTAGTCTTTACACAAAAGCAGTTTGTCAGAAGAGGTGTAAGCCCCACGTTCCTTCACGGGCAATGCTACAAAAGACAAAACTACAATATTGAGAACAGTATCTCTTTCACAACCGCAACAAGATTATATTAAAAAAAAAATGTCCAACAATTCTTTCAGATCATTATACAATTTGATAAATACTTGCTTTTTTCCGTCTGTTCCAAACAAGTGAGCTATAACATGACCGATACGTTTCGAAAAGCTCTCCATACAGCTGAGTTGTCCAGAACATGAATTGGCAGTACAGAAAGCCTCTCTAGTCAAAAAACACACGCATCACTGAACAGATGTTTACTGAATTTACAGAAAATAGCTCACACTGGTTTTATACGTTGTTTTTTCCTGCTGCAAATTCAACTGCTTGTAGCCTCCACTTATGCAAAACATTCTCAAGATGTTTGCCACAGCTTGCCTTTCACTTAAAAATCCATGGGAATACCACAAACTATACAAACCATGAAACCACTCATTTTTATGATCACTCTCCCTTTAAATACTTTTCACTCCTCTGTTCAGCCACTTCAGCTGCAATGCTGTTTACTTTTGCTGTAACCTTTTGGTATCTCGTTTCTGTCTCAGCATAGCCTTTCCCTCCCTGCTCACCTACAAATCTCACAAGCTGAGCCACGTAAATATATGCATATTTCTGCTTCCTCTTTTAAAAAAAATTCTCAAAATTAACTGTATGAAAGCATCCTCTGATTTTAATCACCATCAGCCATATATAAAATCCACAAAATGAGATGCATTTTAAAATCATTTAGAAGATTTCACAGAGCTCGTTCCAGCTGAGTTCCTACTCCTTCGCTATGGACATAAATCCATAATTCTATCCACGACAGCAATTAGCAATGAATAGCACTATTGACCAATGCACGTAATAAATCGGCTACAGTTCACCCTATACCCCTAGCAGGATTCTATTGTGTCCTGGCAACAGGCACCTTTAAAATAAAAGGCCAGAGAAGTATCTTCTTCTTGATTTCTGATAACCTACCATTGGTGGACAAAATCCTGCAGGATGATAAGAAACAAACGGCAGTCAAAGATTACCACCTATTGAGCCAGAGCTAATGCTCTGGGTTGATATTCTGCAGATTCAGATCTGTCATGATTGACTAAAACACACGTGGAACAGCGGAAGTACCTGAGAAATCACAACTGTTATAAAGTTAAAGGCAGAGAATATTGATGAATCAGAAGGGATATTCATCACTTCATTGATTTAGTGTAAGCAGAAAGAGCTTGAAACTAAATTTATGGAGGTCCTTAAATACACAAAGAAATCAAGCTTGTGTTGCACGCAATGATGGGAGATCAGTTACTCAAGGGATTAGGCCCTAAGGTAATTTGATCATATCAATAAGCTGGGAGGATGCTTTAGCACCAGAGCTCTCAATGGATTTGAGGCATACAGGAATTCCAGGAAACAAACTCCAAAACTCCAGGCCAAAGACAATATAACATGTTCAAGCAAAAAGTGAAACATGAATGCCATAATCAGAAGGAAAAACGCATTACAGAGGAACAAGTAACAGATATTCAAAAATGTCTCAGATTACAGGCCCAAGTTACTAGGAAGAAGACATTATGGTCTGTAAACAGAATAAAATGAAAAATCTGGGGGCACAGACAGCAAGTTAGTTATCACATCATCTTGATTTTAAAATTATTGGCTGGACATCTAACAAAGCATGGGGGGGAAAAAACACACTGTGCAAGCTTGGGTGAAATGATAATTTGGAGTCGAAAGTGAAATATTTGTGAACCATGAGGTTTTTTTTACACAGTATCGAAGCAATGCTGCAGAATAAAACATTAGCAACGTTTGCATAAAAAGAACAAATAGGAAGAACTGTAAGGAGGATCACTGGGGCACTCTTAAGATGTTTTGGATGGAAGTAACACAGTTTTCAATAAAACAAAAAAGGAGCACATGTGAAGAACAAGAACAATCACAAGGGAAAGGAGCCTCAAAAGTTATTTGAGGAAAAACAGTACAGGCCAACTTTTAATGTAGCCAATAAGTTAAGAAGGAGGGGAACTGAGCCTTGATTAGAAACATTTTCATGGTCTCCTAGACAAAGCAACTAAAATCATTACGAGATTTTCCTTGAGCCAGGCCAACCCTTGCTAACAGATGTTACTAACTACTCAGGAACAGAAGCGTACCTGCCAGAACAGTTTGTTCTGAACCAGTTTCCATAACCTACTTTTAACTTATGTACGAGTATGACTTATGTCAGTATGACACTGACCTCCAGTTCAGTGTCCTTGAAAAGACTTTTTAGTTATTAATTCTTATGGGCACGACATTGGCAATAGGACTGTTTCATTTACCACCAGGAAGAGCAACATGCTGGAAGAAAACGAGTATGAAAATCAAGTCATATCAGTTCTAACACACATTTCTGTATGTTTGCTTCCATAAGTTTGAGAGAGAATTACCAAGGGGGAAAGTACCTAGAAAAACATTTTATTACACAAATCTGTACCACAAGGTCTTCTAAAGGTTACTTAGGTTGGTAAATGAAGACTGCCGTTTAATCTAAACAGTTAAGCAAGACTTTTATAAAAAGATGATGAGCCTGGCTTCATTTAAAACAACGGTGAAGTGCCTATTGATTCAGAAGGCTTAGATTTTTCCCTCAGATGCAGTTTAACTAAACTGGCTTCATATGACAAAAAATAAAATAAAAAAAAAAGCTCCAGGCAATGAACAAATCATAGGAACAGTTAAGCAATCTTATTACAGTAGCACTTATCTTCACTTACTGTTCATTACATTAACGTCCACGCCTAAATTTAGACATGGAGCACTTAAGAAATGCAATCAGCTCTCCCACCACTTATTCTGCAAGCCGTATACTGCTTTCTTGGGCACAGCTCAAACTGCCACTCTTGCACAGCTCTTGCTCGAGCAGCTCTCTGCTCTCTCTTCAAAATTGCCCACGAAACAAAATTAAAGACAACTCCTTCAGCCATTTCTTAACTTATTATAAAAGTTGCCTCATTTTACCTATTGTAAGACACTGTTTTCAGCCACATACAACTCTGCCAAACAATTTTCTGCACTCATCTGTGATCCATGATCAAACTTTTTATTATCACTGTACTGCATATAACTTCAAAAGTGAAGAAAAAGGCCATTTTCCATTGTATAATTTTATCTGCACTTTCATTTCTGACTCAAACTTCTTAATTATTTTACATTAATCCGCATAAATAATTTCTACCATCATAAAGTTCCCCAAATTTGGCTGTGAAAACATACATAATATCAAATTAGAAGCACCAGTAAATACTGTGAACGACATTACTGAGCCTGGACATAGCTGTGGTGGCAAAAAAAAAGAGAAGAATAGGTAATTCTGTAAAAAGGAATTATAAATATTATGCATGTTTTATTTTTATATACTGAAGACAGAGAGAAGTACACACTATTCTGATTTGGTCTTTGTATTTAAAAAAAAAAAAAAAAGCAACCAAGGAAATCACACAGATACTTTCCACTCTGTTAGTGTAACCAGACGTTAAACCAGACTATGTCTGCTCTCATACAGCTGCAATAACTTACTTTAACTTATTATTATTTAAATAATTTCATTATCAGGACACTTTTCCTGCAGGTGACATAGCCCACACCACCCTGATTGCTTAACATGGAAGTTGTAAAACGCGAAATCCAAAAGTAAATCAGCCCCTGAGTTACTGAAGCATCCCCCGGTGCAGTTCCTACATGACGTTTGCACGCAGCCAGCAGCAAGGCTCGTCTCTGCGCCCAACCACTCCAACACGTACATTTCCTAGGACTATTTTTCTCTCCCATCTGTATCCTGTTTTTATAAATTCAGTGTTTTCCACTACATTATGCCTGCACAAAGGGATGATGAGCCCTCATGAAACATAAGATCCTAGTTCGCATGGTTTTAGCCAGAAAGGTCTCCAAAGAATTATATAATAAAATGTCTTTAAGCTAATGGATGCGTCTCACCAAAAATTATTAGAAAAGATGAAGTCTAAGACTGTGATGGGTAATGCATAACAACCAAAAAGGAGTACTTCAGTCCACCCAGTGTGTATGAGAATGACATTATTGCCAGCATCAAAGCAATTATATAAAAACTGAAGCCTAGTTAAAAATACAGGAAAGGAGCATATTGGAACCACTTAAATTAATATTAAATACTGCAAGGCCCTCTAGCGGTTAAATCTTTAACACAAGAAAATGCATAAACAATTGTTTCTGAAAGAAGGCTATCGAAGTGCACTGAAGTTAAGGCATTTAATTTCTGTCACTTCCAAGTAATTAAGGACATTTAAACCGGAGAGCTTCTTAGTTAATTGTTTCTGGGTAATTACCAGAAAGGGGGGGGGGGGGGAGAAATCCATTCAAAAAAATCAGCTAATCTATAGGTATTTTTTGTTCTTAACAGAAATAAGAGTTACTTACTAATACATCAGTTATGCACAAGTGAAAAAACAAACAAACAACCACTGCTCTCTCAAACCGGTATCAGAATAGCTTATCACAACATATAGTTTTGATTGCCTCAAAATCTGACAAAACTATCAGTGCACAACACTAACCTCCTTTTCAGCCTGAAGTATTTAATTTTTTCTTCATGTATAGAATCAGTACTAAAACAAATGCTCAGGTTGAAGAATTTAATTAAGAAGTTGTCATGGTACAGCTGAAAGGAGCAAGCAAATTAGGGGTAAAGAAAAAAAACAGGTTTTTCTTCTTCCTCACGGTATATTTAGAGGTATTCGCGTGCATACTGTTGCGGAATTAATTTGCAAAAGAGAAAGAAAGTTATCAAAGTAACAGGAGTACCAAGGCAAAATTGTACATCTGTTGACAAGCGGAAAACATTTGTTACTTCCTAATCTGATAATTTTATTTGCCCAAATCTCAACAAATCATTTTACTGCAAGGAAACAAATCACCTTTGCTTGTTCAATACTCAGTCTAATTAGAGGTGACTTTTTAACTGCTTAGGGCTCTGCAGTCTGTGAACGAGCTGAGGGAAACAAGGACCCTAATATGACAAGGAGCACACTTCACAACAAGCTTTGGCATCACAACTTCACTGCTCAGCTCAACAGTGTTGGAAGACACCACTTTCACAAGCTACTTTTTCTAAAGAAAGATCCCTAAAACAGGATCAGAAGTTTTCACTCCCTTTTGTCAGTCTTGCCTCTCATACACACCTGCCCTTGAAAGCTTGATAGCCAAGTACGGCACATTACAGGCACTTGCGCAGATGATGCTATGAAATCGGCTCTCCCTGATGAGATGACTGCCTCCCCAGTATGTCATGTCAACCTTCTTTTTTTTTGTTCGCAGAGGGGGCAAGAAAGATTACAGCGGCAACTGGGGAAGACAACACTTGTGGACCGGACCGATTAAGCAGCTCGGCAGTCTAGAGCATTAGAGGAAGCCAGAAGACGATGACATGGGCAGAGTTTAAATAAGGCAGTCAAATGCATAGAGTCGAAAATCTGTCAGTAGGCTACCACCCACATGACAATGATGCATTTGTCTATCTTTACAGTGTGGGAAGTGCTGATACTTATATTCCCTCAATGCAAAATTTTGCTTACGTAATACAAAAATTGTTCCTTGACTTCTTTTAGCTCCAGTCTTGTTAACAGGCAGAAGGAAAAATACTGTTCTTTTCAATTAGTTCACTCAAAATGGGTACGCCAAGCTCTTAGCCAGTTCCCTATAGCCAAGAGCTGCATGTTTAAAATAAAAAAAAAAAAAAGAAAAAGAAAAATTTCTCACAAAAATTTCACCTGCAAGATTTTGCAAGCTCACCATATATGCTCAGAAGATTGCTTTAGTCCCTTAATCATCCTGCAATTATGTCCGAAGTGTCATCCTACAAATTATGTCCTATTCTGGTTTTATTCTGCAGTAAAATTGACATTATGTATTTCAAGCGTAAAGTTACACATTTTCAAAGAGAATTCAAAATATAAATGGAAGTCAGCCATTATCAGACCTTATCTAAATTTAAGATAGTCTAATAGGACAAATAGGCATGAAAAACATTTGCAACTGGTATTTCATTCTATCTACATTAAAAGTAAAAAACAAACAAAAAACTACGTCAAAAAAAAAAAAGACACAGAAAAAAAAAAGTTCCATGCCATTTAGAAGTCTTACGGCTACGACAAAAAAATAGAAGTAGTCAAAACCACCACTTTCAGATCTCAGATATAGGCATCAGCACTGAAATAAATTCAATAGATCACATGACTGGGTAGGAGAGAAGGGGTGCAAGATAATCTCAATAAGAACAAACATTTAGGTGCACAAACCTTTCGTAGGCCTGAGACAGAAGCTGTGAATTTCGGTCTAAACACAAGTCAACAATGCATACTCAGAACTCAATGGTTTGGGGAACTTTCAACCCAGTAACAAATTACAGATGTTGCAGAAAAGGCCTTTACAGAACTACGCATCAGTGCTTGCTTCCAGATCTAAATCTCAATAGCAGCTATGCTGCAACTGAAAACAAAGGCAAAAAAACAAACAACAACAAAATCCCCATAGCACATACCTCATGGAGGTTATACTGTGGATGAGCTTTTCAGATTGATCTGACAAGCTGGATGGAAGTATTAGTTCAACTGGCTGCAGGCGCAAAACCCGACTTTCTAATTCTAAGCGAGATGCACAGTCCCGAAAACTGTCAAAAATGACTTCTCCAGTAGTTGGTTGGACTGCCTGTCAAATAAAATAATATATACACATTGAGTATTTAAAGTTTCAAGGAGAGCTTCAGTGACTCAAACTGTGAAGCCAGAAAGAAAGTCTGTGGTACAAAAATGATAGATCCCATCACCCATACGCTTAGCAAAAGTGGCAGATTAAAAATATAACGTTTTTCATATAGTAATAATTTTGAAAGGCTACCACAATTTTGTCTCTGTAAAGGATAACAATACCTTAAAAAACGTTAACATGCTCTTGTTACCATTAGTCCATCATTGCTCAAATTTTCTTACTGTTAAGGACTACTCAAATTACATTTTTTTTTTGCTCGTTCTCAATTGCAGTGTGACATTCAAATACAAGCACAATCAAGATGTTTGCAGATTAAAGAATTCGCAACAGACAGGACTCTAGAGATTATTGTACTTATTTCATAGTGTTTTGCCAGTTACACACTTCTCAGCTTTTAATGTTCACTACTAAAGACGATATAAATCTACAGTGTAGGCAGTAATGACTGCATTAGTCTCTTCCTCCAAAGATATTTTGCAGAGAAAAAAGTGCTTGCATGTATTAAAATATCATCCCTGCAAATGTTTAAAGTTTAGCATTAATAAAGCATCTGAACTAACAGGTTTCCTGTATTTGGTTAAAAACATAGCTATGCTTTCAAGAGGTTATGGCAGAAAAAATAAACAAAAAACCAACCAAACAAAAACTAAAACAGAAATATCCAGCTATCAACTCTAAACCTTTTCTGAAGTTTTCAAATATTAAGCTATCACAATACAGTCATAAATGATTTCTCATAAACTGTACCTTGCTACAAGTTAAAAAAAAAAAAAAACACCCTAAGAGAAGATTCAAGAATGGATGAAGATAACCACCTACCTCTTCTGTGAAACTAACTTACCATAATGCCTATAGCAACATCACCTTTCTTCCTGTCTTTTAAGTTTTCTCCATTTTCACAGATACAGAGGAGGTAGTTATCAGGGACATCTGTTGTCACCTCTTCAACATCTACAGAATCATCCAGCTTCAGCAAAGGGTTCACATGTAACAAATGTTAAAAAAAATAACAACTTATAGCACACACAGATTTTGATGGATTTTTCATAGGGCCTTCCAGACTTAAGTCCTTCTCAATTAGATCCTGCATTGGTCCTTCTAGACTAAATGTCTATTAGATTGAGACACATTTCCTTTTTCTGTATTAGCTTGATTCCTCGTACGATCATAGAGGACTTCAGGTGACTGTAAGCACCAGAACAGAACTCAGTGGCTACCTTCATGTTACAGGCAGTCGCAAGATGAACAGATTTCATCAGCTCATGAAAAGGCTATCTTCTGCTGTGTCTGCAGGTCTCCTAATTCAAGGCACGAATAGTTATGCCAAAAGCTAAACTGCCTACTGACTCTGCACATGGCTTACTCCACACATGTTGCCTTGACTTAATAGCCAAAAACCACATATACCTGACCAAAAAAAGCAGGCAGTATCTTGACTCAAGCAGAAGTCTACATCTTAGCAGGAGCAGCAGGTTAATCTCACTGAAAACTTGCTGCGTATCAGTCCACCAGACTGGGTCATACTGCTG